CTCGACAGGGAGCATCCAACGGTCTTGTTTTCATAGATTTTTTTTAAGTGTCAAGCCACTCGCACCTACAGGCAAAATATTGCACCGATTGCATTCTTTGGATGTTCAAACTTGCCAATTTTACCTTGGTAGGTTCTGAAATCTGCCACAGAACGACTAGGGAGGCGACCTTTCTCTAACGTCGGCAATTCAAAGCTAACTCCGTATTGGCGACATTGTCTTCGAAAAATCGCTTCCCGCCTCTGATTTCTTCCAGAAGAGTGTCTCTGCCGCCTAGTCGAGCTTAATGATGCAGTCCTAGGGGCTTCTGTGGCAGCAAATGACTCGAAAAATCACTTAAAAACGGGTTTTGGGCGAATTTGAGAGCGAGTGCTGGCTAATTTAGCGACCCGTCTCAAATTCGCCGGGCGTCGCTGATGTAAACAAACTTATAGGAATGTGAATCTACAATAGTTTGATTGACAACTCCTTATATGGGGTACATTTAATTTTTTGAAATATCAGTCTCAAAAACAAGCTAAAATACAACATAAATCGCGGACGTTAAAGGGTTAAGCATGATTGATTAAGGGGGATCTTCCAATGTTCCTGATCACCACGTGCACTAGCCTTTCCGTTTTATCTAGGATTTCCCCGACCATGAAGAAATGTAGGTCGAACGTCGTATCTCATATGTATCGAATTCAATGAAGATAACATGAGCATGCGCAGAAGCACAAGGTTGCAGTAATTTGCATTGAATTTGGTACATAATACGACTTTTTCCCTTTAAAAGCGAACAACCGCTGATGTAGTTGACAGTCTCTCATGCGTAAAGACCTTACCAAAAACCAAAGCAAGAAAAAATGTTGTGATTACAATAGCGCTAAGCCAGTTTTCCCAGAAGTCTCAACGTAGTTTTACTCAGGCTAAGCCTTAAATCGAGGAAGATTCAAATTTATAGACCCCTTGCAGTTCGTGGGAATGCAATTCCAAGTGGAGGACAAATGAATAGATTCTATTTCCCAAGAGGGCAAAAATCTTTTGTTTTGACCCCCAGATGAAGCTACTTTGACGTCTCATGCAAGGGGTCTATAGAGCTATTGTAATGTCAACATTTTTTCGTGCTTTCTTTTGTCCTCTACGCAAGTGAGTCTGTTGTCTAATAGAACAGCGGTCGCTCGCATTGAACTGGAAAAAGGCTTATTCCCATAAAACTTAGCAGATGACTAAACACTCTTGAATAATTTCTTTTTCTTATCAAATAAAACTAGTACAGGCTAGACGGTCGGCGGAAAATTGCTCTACATACCTCAAACACTAGAACTTTAAGTTTTTTATACTTGAGAGCAAGACTTGCAAGTTTCGGTGCCTCAAGTCCGCCATGTAACCAGACTATTGGTCGTTTTTTCTCCATCGTCAGTTTCCATCGATCTCCACTACCAACCTATATATCAAACGGTCGACCTGTTACTATCGGGCCGCCATTTTGAATTATGAAGAAATTTTTGGGATGTCTAAGGGGAAAAAGCCTATATCAGATCAATCGACTGCGGATGACTCAGTACTTTTTCTGATAAATTTATGCTAAAAATATGAATCAATATTGTATGTCAGGTCAGACAAGTCATGTAGTCAGATACTGGTAACATTGTAACCCAGTACAACCTGCCTCATGGACGGGTCGTCGGCGTCTAAACCGGCACCCCCACCAGTCTATTACACTGGTGAGGAGGGTGGCATGTCCCAGCAGGACTGAAAACAAAACCTGTCAAAGCGCGAATGAGCTTGGTTAAGCCACCGGGCATCATGCAAAAACACTTGTTTATTGTGATGTAAATCTGATTGTTGTACTTTTTTAGTTTGAGATCTTGGGACAGACTGTGCAGCAGCAGCCAGAGGCGCCAACTCAAGCTCACAGTCTACCAAGACTCTCATGTGTTTTGTAGTTGTCATGTAGTTTTAAAGCGCTTAGAACAGAATTGGATAAGCGCTATATAAATAG